AGGTGGTGGAATCTCCATCCTTAGAGGTTGTTAAGGCCTGGCTTGACAAAGCCTTGGCTGGGATGATTTAGTTGGTGTTGGTCCTGCTTTGAGCAGGGGGTTGGACTAGATGACCTCCTGAGGTCTCTTCCAACCCTAATCTTCTATGATTCTATATGTCAGTCTCCTTGCACTGCTCTGCAGGTTTATGTTGCCCTAGTCTTGCCAACAAGATTCCTATTGCCTTTTATGGGAGGTCAGTTCATGGAATAGCTGTAGGATCAAGTGATGTGATTTTTAACTGGATACCCTACTTGCAGGAAACCTAAAGATTATATTTTAATTTTTTTTCAATGTGACTAAGTTTCTGACTGCTTGGGCACAGTGAAAAGGCTTGGACCCAACTCACATTCACACTAAGGTCCTTTTACACCACTCTAGCTACATAAATAGGTCTTAAATTGGAAGAAAATATAATTTACTACTGATTTATGGCCCCTTTACACTGCTAGAGTCGCATAAAGAGGGAATGGTGAAAATTAGAATCCAGCCCATTATTTTTTTTAAAAAAACTGGTTATTCCAGTGGCTCCGCCTGTACTGAAATGTTTTCTTATTGTCTATAGGAAAATTTGTAAGGAGCAGCAGTGTAAAGTTCCTCACTGTGCTCTGGTGATATACTTGGATCCATTTGCTGGAAAGACTTTTGCTAGGAATGGGAGAGTCAGTGGCGGATTAGCCACTGAGCCAACAGGGACCTTGCCCAGGGTCCCCCGGCCAATTGGGCGTCCCTGTGCCCTGACCCTGCTCCTCGGCAGGAGTGCTGGCTGGAGCGGGGCAAGACCCCTGGACCCTGACCCTGCTCCCCAGCAGGAGTGCAGGCAGGTGGGGAACAGAGGGACTTCAGGTGTAAGGGGTGACTTGTTCTGGCCCAGGGCCCCATCAAACTGTAATCTGCCTCTGGGGAGAGTAGCTCATTTTCCATACACATTTGATTCTCAACTACTCTGTAAATACTGCCTATAAGTGTGCCAGTTAGTTCTTTTATGGACACCAAATCATTTCATATAAAACACTGAATAACTGCCAGAGGCAACTTAATGACCTGGGTTGACTTCAACATATTTTAAGAAACTGGCAAATGTTAAATACATACCATTTAATCTAAACAAAAAGTAGCAGAATTTCATAAGTGTGCATTGAGCAATCATATCTACTGCTTTGTAGTCCACTAATACAGGTAAAGCAGGAAATAACCATTATTAGTTAAGTGTTGAAGAGCTGCAGAGCAGCATATAGGCATGCATGATTAGCATGCAACTCAAAATTCTAAAGAGGAAAAACAAAGTTGTTTCCATTGTTTTCTCAGTGTGAAAGCAATGTACTGACAGCTTCTTGGCTATTCAGTTGCATGCATATTGGGAGCTTAAATAGCTCAAACTACTTAAATGAACCACGGATAAATTAGTCTGAGCTAAGGAGTCGGTAGTTAACTGGGAAAACTGCTTGCATGAAACAGAGGTATGTGATTAAAGCATGAAGTATCAGTGAGGCTTTCAGTGACACTTGGAGGGCTAGAGGTTTGTGTTTTTTTTCCTGAGTTGTGATCAGCTTAATCCTTTCAGTAACTGCATAATTAATGCTAAAAACTACATAGAAAATTAATGGACTGCCATACATCAGCATAAGTACTCAAAAGAAAAAATTACGATTGAAGTATTACATCAATGGCCAAGGGAGAAGTGATGATTACTTCCCATCTTCCCAAAAGCTACTAAGGGAAAAATGATATTTTTATAAAACTGACTGATGTTCACCAAAGTGAACTGAGATCTGTTATGCTACCTGAGTTCCACATATACTCTACACTCTTTTTATTACCTCTTCTTCTCCCTCTTCTTGGTACTGTTCATCCACATTATCTTCTTGCTGGTCAGGATTTCCTGCCATCTGCAGAAACAGAATGGAAATGTAATTCTACCATGCATATCTCTTAATTTTAGTAATCCAGATGGTTAGAACTACTTGCACTGCAACTAAAATATCCTATATTCCAGAGTGATAGTGTAGCAATTTTTTAATTTGTTGAATATCATTAATATTAGGCTGGTTACATCCTTTACACCAAGTCAAATTGAAAAAAGACAGTGGACTGATTATAAGGAAATCATTGCACAACACAAATCAGACTACACACAGCATACAGACAAAAAATACAGTCCCTGCCATACGAAGTTCACAGTCTAATGGCGAATACAATAGGCAGGATGCAATGGTACACACAGAAGAAAAAACAGACCAGGTTGTTTATTGGGAAACCTTGCTTGTGGGAATCATGGAGGAAGTAAAATTCTTTATGAGGGATATGAGTGAAGACAGGGCAGTGGCTTGGAAATTATAATGGGAAGTTGTTCACGCAGGGAGCAGTGCACAAGGTGACATGAGAATGGTAGCAAAACAGGGCACTGAGCCTGTCAGCGGGGATGGGAGTGATGGGATTAGAGACAAGGTCAAGATATCACAAGAAGCAGTTCTGTAATTTTACCTGCGTGTACTGTATATAGTATAAAAACTGCCCAATTAAAACAAAAACAAAGGTCAGTGTCTTGGTATCACAGTTTGAATGTTTGTTACTGTCCTTCCTCGTACAGCATCTTTAGAACAGCCATTCTCAACATAGTAATAGCTATGTACACACAATTGCACATGTTCTACAGATGCTTCCTTTTATCTGCTCACCACTAAATGTTCCTCCATCGCAGGAGAATCCTGCTTCTGATTATTTTGTTTGTGCTGCTCATTCTCATCTGGCAGATTCTCTTCTCTCTCTTGTTCAGCTTCTTCAAACTCATCCTCTCCCTGATTGTTAGGATCATCAGCTGGGTTCACATCTTCCACAGCTGCCTTCTGTAATTTTTAGAAGGGTGTATTGTATAAGTACATTAGTCTCAGCAATTCCATTTCACTTGAAAATTATTATAGTAATAGTTACCTCAGGGCTGATCCAGTCCCCGTTGAAGCCAATAGGAGTTTTTCCATTGGCTTCAGCGGGCATTGAATCAAAACCTTAGTGATTATGAAAAGTGCCAGATTTACAGCACTGGAAATAAGTATGTCAGCTCTGAATAAGGATACAGCTGGGATGTGCACATCTGTCTACTAGGAACTAGACTAGTATCAGAGGGGTAGCCGTGTTAGTCTGAATCTGTAAAAAGTAACAGAGGGTCCTGTGGCACCTTTAAGACTAACAGAAGTATTGGGAGCATAAGCTTTCGTGGGTAAGAACCTCACTTCTTCAGATGCAAGTGACTGAGGCTACCGACTCATTCTACATAAGATACTGAAAAGCTTTCAGTTATTGATAATACAGCAGGTGATAACACCTGATAAAGTACAGCTCAGTCAGGACAACAAAGACAGGTCAGAACAGTTAAGTGTCAAACTCTGATCAGGCCTGACTCCACATAGCTCACAAAAGTTGCTCTCCATGTTACAGTAGGTTGTGATATATTGACCTGAGCCACATTTGAATCAGTTACTTACGGGAGAAAATGCCTGATAGCTCCTCAACCTTTGCTATTCAATAAATGCTGTTTTTCCTTTATGCTTATTATTCAATATTATCCCATAGATTTAATACTGCAGCTACCAAGGCACCAGTAACATCTTTGGGCTAATATATATTCTTCTCTTCAAATATTTGCCACACAATTTAGTATTCTAAATAAAAATGCATGTATGCAAGATCCTGTATACACCACAAAACTGAACAAAATATAATGAGGTATTTATGTAGAATTGGATTCTTCTCCCTCCAAGGTGGCATCTACTGTGATAGACAGCTGATGAAATGCTTGTTTACTGCTTTTGTATCCGAGTGTTCCCAGTTTAAGTTTCAACAGTGTCAAAATCCTCATGCAGGGTTATACCAGAAGCACAGATCTGGGATGTGTTGAAAGAAAGAATGCCTTCAACAATGATGACCCTGCTCATTTCTAACAAAACAAATAAAATAAAGAGTTTAAATTGTGTCCAAGCTCTTATTTCAACAGCCAGATTTGTCTTACCGCTGGCTCGTCTGCCTGCTGGTTCTCTATTTGATGCTCTGGTTCTTGCTGCTCATTTGCATTAATTTGGTCTTCTACTTCTTCAGCTTCATCTTGGTGCTGATTGTCCCTTTCATACACTGACAAAATTAATTATTAGAATGAGTATTACAGTCGCTCCTGGAGTCCCCAACTGAGAAAAAGGCCCCATTGTGGTAGGAGCTGTGCATACATGTAGTAGTCCCTGCCCTGAAGAGCTTGTGATATAAATAGACAAGACAGACAAAAGATTTAGCTTCATTTTACAGATGGGAAACTGAGATACAGAAAGATTAAGTGATTTGCCTGAAATTACACCAGAAGTCTGTGGGAGAGCCAACAACTGAATCCAAATCTCCTGAGATCCAGTCTAGTGCCTTCACAAGGCCGTCCTTCTTCTCATTTGTATATAATCATAACTGCACCCATATCTTAGGCAATACAACCATCACAAATCACTAATGAAACATAGTCACTGATTTTAATTGTAAAGAAAATGCAGTGCTCTTATTGGAATCCAAAACCGCTATATTTATTTCTGAATGGATGAGACAATCTGACACTGAAGACAGTTCAGATGGGGGGAAAGAGAATTCAATCTCACCTCCATCCTCTTCGTGGATGCCTTGCCCCTCTTCTCCTTGTACAATATCATGGTCCATATTGTCATAATGAGCTTGTTGGCTAAAAAATTATATGCAAAAATACAGTTTCAGTTTCACAGAGACAGTTCTGGCTGTCTTTTTTTTTTTTAAGGATTCCTAAGTTTACTTTCCTGTTAGCTAAGTTTTTCCATCAGCATTTTTAAAAGGAAATGTACATTATGGAACATTTGTGTAGGATACCTTACTAGCCTTTGCATCTGTTTTCCTATCTACAGAAATGGTGGGTAGTATTGGCTTATTCGTAGGGCTGTTATAATGACACAAGTTAGTGTCTGTACAGTGCTTTGAAAATGTAGGGTGCTAAGAAATGAAATCAAAGAGTCTAGTATTCAAAAAGCTGTTAAATAATGGTCCCAAAGCAAAGAAGTGATACACATGTACCTGAGCAATTTAGGCTTTGATCTGGCAAGGAGTTTGCTTATGTGACACTCCCTTTAGAATTGGGGATTTGGACAGTACTAATTCACTTCCTGGAAATAAGGCTTTTTTTTTAATGTTACTCATGTTAATTTTTCCCTATTACTGTGTGTTTCAGAAAATATTTCTCTAAAGATCATTATATAGGTTTGAGCTTCAAAAAATAAGTGAAGGCCACTATTGGCAGGAGAGCAGAAAGAGTATTAACTGAAGACCGTTATTAAATGGGAGACTGAAAGGGGGCGAGGGGGAGAGAGAGAAGATAATCTACAGTACGTAGACTGTAAGCTAGGTTTACAGGAGCCTGATGTACACTCGAAGGTTCTGTATTTTAATAGGCTATAAAAATGTTTCAACATCACGGATATGAATCAAACCAATTTTTTTTTAATAAAATCCAAAAAGTTAACGCTAAAAGTTCATCCTTAACTCATGCTATTAGCTACACGGAGCAAGTGATATTAGCCCTTCACTTTCACGAGCATCAAGTTCCCATGACATTATTTTAAAATATCGTCTATTTATGGGGTGCTTTTCATCCGAAAAGATCCTAACACATTTCAAAAACTGAAATTGTCTATGTACAGCACTGCTGACGTGTAGCCACCTCTGGGGCACGGAATAACAACCAGGTAGCACAAAACAAGCCACATGACTGTACTGGTAAAATATGTATAAACATCCAAGATACTAGGCATGTACTCGGGGCAGCTAGCCCCTCTTGCAGCTCCAACCTCAACAGCTCTATTTTTAGTGCACTAGTGTGATGACAGCTAGCAGGGTATGTCTCCTCGAGGTACAATTTACACCGAAGTGCAGACATACCCCATGAAACCCAGAGTGCAGATCTCAGCATACATGTAAGGGAAGTTGTTAACCTTAGCTGGTTTCTGTACTGCTCTTCTCCTCGTTCAGCCTCTCTCCGTAGTGCAAGCTCTTTTTCTTGAAGCTGCTGCTGCCGTAATAACTGCCCTTTCAGCCTCTGCTGGTGTAGAGATTCCTGATGTTCCCTTAGCTGTCTGGCTTCTTCAGCTCTTCGGGCGGCCAGATGCTGTTGTTCCAACTGTTCTTCATAGGCCAGTTTGTATCTTTTTGTTACACTCTGTGTCAAGAAGTGAAAGAAACATGTTTGAATATATACCCTTCTGAACCTGCCTTCTTGGGTACCTATTTCCCTTCACTATCGGAATGATTTTCCTGGTATAACGCATATTACCAGCAGGGGACGTGCTAAAACCACTGATGCCAGAAAAGTAGAGGTTGGGAGAAGGGGGGAGAATTATGCAGGCAATGGATAAGATGGAGAACAATGTATAAATAGCTGTTTTGTGATCATAGAGTCAAACTTCACTCTTGAAGCTTTCATCATCTTACTTGACGTTACACATTAAATGCTCCCATTATAATCACAGCTGCTTTTTTTTAAAGGGGAATTAGAATACCTGAGGCTGTGGTATAGTTTTTAGCACCATAAATCTGACACTGCCACAGTACTAAGATCTCATGTTGACAGGCACTTGACATATTTTAGTAAGTTAAAAAAATATTGGTACTATTGGCTGTCTGAAGGAGCATGGGAGGTAGGGTTGATCATGTGGTCAGAGTGCAGGTGAAAGAATCAAAGGTTTGTGATAAATGCAGTTTATCCTATGGCTATCTCCAATACATACCAACATATAGTACGTGTCCTCCAACCCACACTCCAAATACATCCTGTGTAATATCTGAACTAAATGCAAACTCTGCTGACCTACTCAAGCACAGTTGGGTAAATGACACAGCTTGAAAGCATCACCAAATTGTGGGCTTTGTTTTTGTTTTTTGGTACATTACTAAAAATGATAGCCATGGAAGAATATAGAGATTATTGACAAAATTAGAATTCAATGGTGGTTTTATTCTTGACTGGAATGAGAGCTTGACTGGGTCTTAAATGAGAGACTAAACATTGTTTGCAACCAGGCACACTAGAGGCAGGTATTGCGCAATCTTCTGCCATTGCAGCCAAATCATAGCCTCATAGCCTACTATGTCCCTACCTACCATTCCAGTCCAGAGCACCTCAGCCAACGTTTTCCCATCAGGCTTGAATTCTGTGAATGTTTTGTTAGATGGATAAATGCACACGGGGCTTGGATGAGACCAACAAATAAATTGTTCTGCTTGAGACCTGACCCAGAATGTATTTCCAGGTCTTATTGTTTCTATTTAAAGCTCCCCAGAATATACCTTGCCTTTACTATTCATTAAATTCCCTTTGCTCCTCTAGGCATGTTCATCTTACAGCTAAAATGCTTTGTGAAAATATTAGCAAACACTTGAATGAAGAGTGTTTACTAAAGTTATACCAATAACTGAAAGGGAAATGTAATTGCATTTGCTATGGCAGATGACACTTCAAATCTAATATTGTAAAGAAAATCCCCCCAAAAAACTCAAACACAAACCTCCCCTCCCACAACTCCCAAGCTTTAGACTGGACTCAATGTGGCTTCCCTTTTGCACCTGCAGTTATTTGCAAGTGGAATTCATGTCATTTAGACATTTACACCCAATTCAGAAAGCACTTTATCATATGCTTAACTTTAAGCATATGCTTAGAGTCCCAGGCATTTAAGTGCTGTGTTTTAAATGTTGCCTTATTCCTCAACTGCCTGCAAATCCAAATGATACTAATTACATCTGCAACTAATTGCAGGTGCAAAGCAGGGCCTGCAGTTGACAGGTGCCAGAAAGGGTGACTTGTTGAGAAGAGAATCTTGCACCTCTGAGTGAATGCGTTCACCCAGCACGTTGGCTGCTTCCTCTTTATGTTCCTGTTCTTTCCAGTCATGTTCTTCTGGTGCTTGATCCTGTTCTTCCACCAAGTTCTCAGGTTGCCCTGCCTGCTCCATTTCCTCTTCCTCGAGTTCTTTTTTGTGTTCCTCTTCAACTTGGTCCATGTGTTGCTCTTCATCTTCTCCTGCTTCTTGTTGCTCCTGAATATTCAGTTCCTTGTGAGGGTGACCCTCATTTGCTTTTCTGCTCAAATGTAAAGGTTCATCTCCATCTTCTCTTCTCTTGGAATTTATTTCTTCCCTTTCCTGTGGCTTCTCCTTATTCTGGGGTACCTGTGTAAAATGACATATTAATTCCATGATATTTCAGAGATGTCTACGTCTAGAGTCCATGACACTATAAAACATTTGCATGACTTCCATAAAGGCTTAATATTTTATAATGTTCATAAAAGAAAATGTCCACCTGTTTATTATTATCAGTGATTAGGTCTGATAATCACTCAAGGCCTCTTTCATGTAGACCTCAACGTGATCTGAAGTAGCAGCTAGACATCTGTCTACCTATTTGTATGTGTAAACAGACTCATCTTTATTAATATGAGCATCCACATTAATTGTTGGCACAAGAGGATACAATTTATTTAGGGCACAACATTGTGCCTGGAAAATTCAGTAGTTGCTGAATATCTGACTCATAATTTATACTCAGATTTGGTTATGTTCTAGAAAATGCTAAGGGTGAGATTTCCAACCTTGATCATGATGATCAGCACATTATTCTAAAAATAGAGTCTTATTGAAGTCAGTGATAACTTGTGGAGTAAAATATTACTCCACATGAGTAAAGGTGGCATAAATCAGCTATGTTCTACAATAAAAATTAAGGCCCAGATTCTACTACACTTACTCATGCTGAGTAGAATTTCACTCAATAACTAGAACTGATGGGCCTACTTCTGGAGTAAGGTACTACTCAATGTGAACATGGGTATCAGAATCTATTCCTTGGATCTATGCAACTAAAAAATGACAATAACATAAAATAACTCAACCCACTTTTAATCTAAAATGAAGCCCAAAATATTTATCTTCCAGTTTAAAAAAAAAAGTGTTTTATTTTTAGGCTTGGCAGAATTCAATTTTTATGTTTTATCATGGTAGTGGATAATATTGATGTTTATTTTAAAGCATTTTTTTTCAATTTTTATCAATATTAAATTTTCACATTTGCACAAAATGTGGGGTTTCACACAATTATTTAATGACAGATGCTGAGGTTCAAGAAGTTAAAGCTGTAGAACAGTTAAAACACAAGTTGTTAACATCATACGTCAAAATATGTCAAAAGTAAATATGTTTAAATCAAGTTCTCAAGCAACATTTTTCTTTGCCTATCTGTAAATTTTGATGTTCATATTACTGATATATAAATCTAATTCCTCCGAGCCTATTTATTTTGATTCAGAAATATTTATTCTCAACTTGCAGAGACACATGTCAAATAAGAGCTCACCCCCGGATTTTACATGTGAACCTGCACTTTTATTTTCAGTTAGCTAAAAATGTTTGTATTGTAAAATATTGAAAAGGTACATTCAGTTTTCTTCAGAATTTGTGTTTCAACCAAAACAATCGGGCCAATTCAACACTAATTGAATCTGCTTTTTTCATCCAAAAAAGACTTTTGTCCAAAAAATTTCATCAACCCCTTGTTGAAAATCATTAGGGAAAAAAATTGCTGCAGCAGTCAGTGATTTTCACCTCTTTTTGCTCTTCAGCTGCATTTTTCTCATGTGGTGGGAGGTCACTATTTGGAGGTGTTGCTCCTGCCACTGTCGCTTCCTGTGGAACATTTGGCTGCTCTAACTTTTCAGGTTGTCGAAAACTTGGCATTTTGTTGAGTGTGTCCTTCAGTTGTTTATATTCTTCTACCTGGGACTAAAATTGAAATATACCCATTGTACTACACCAGACAAGCATGTTATTAAAATACACACTCGCTCCGGAGTGAGTTTGTTGGCAAAATGGGTACACAGAATCACTCAACATGCACATCAGATCAAACATCAAGATTTTAAGACTGGTTGTTTCCATGCATTAGATAGCCGTGATTTAATACGTATTCATCAATCACAGTGAACATGCAAATACAAACCACGCAGGAAAATCCCTACAGTACAGCGATGGCGATTAGTTTTTCATGCCAGGCAGAAGAAGAGCTGAAGGGAATGATTAAATTTTCTTTGCACACTTTAAAATGAAAGAAACAGAGTGCCATGGATTGTTTCTCATCTGCTCAGTAGCAAGAGATGCAATTCTTTTTAGAAACAGTAATCAAGTTTAAAAAAAAAGTCACAAGTGATTAAAAATTCTCAGCTATCTTCAACCTTTAGATAATTGGTAACAATAGACAAGAGTCAAGAGAAAATATTATGGGAGAAAAAAAATCAATCACGCTGGAGCAACTTTAATGGAAAACAACAAATAAAGTAACAACACTTCCACTGGTGGAAGGGAGTGAGTGGGAAGGGAAAAGATAAATTTAGAGCTGCTAAACATCCCTTCAGTAAGTAAGATGTCAGGGATCCACTTCTTTGCAACTGCACTGATGTTTTTCAGGCCAATGGAAGATCTGTTCACTTTCAGCAAGCTACCCATGCTGGACGTTCAGGCAGGATTGGGAAACTTTTCACAAGCCACTCCCCATAAAGCAGGTGTACAAGAAAAAACCATTCAACTCAGAAAGCAGGGTATTTTCAGAAGGGGCATCTTTCATAACCAATTACATCTATCAGATACACGAAAGGTAGTGCCTAGCACTGCAGCTTACCATTTACATATAACCCCTCCACCTTCTCCTGTTCCACTTCCCCTCTCCTTGTGTTAAGGTTTATAACTCTGTGGGAAAACATTTAACACTATTTGGAGCTAAAACTTGCCACACAATCACTCAGCTTTAAACAACTCTTAAAAATCACTCAAAGCACTCTTTCTTGTTGGAGGGGAAAGAGTGGGTTCTAAAGGCATCAGATTCTCTGTTACTCTTGTGAGGAACTACTGATTGGGAGTAAATAAAATGAAATGGTTCAAGTTATTATTTTGGTAAAAACGCCAACATTTTTTTGGTGATTTAAAAAAATAAATAAATCCAAATGAAGGTTTAGCAATTGGCTACAGTACACACCCAGTGACTGTGTAAGTCCCTTGGTGTACTTGATATAATATCATAACAATCAATAGTACATCAGACAAACATGATGCATCATATCAAATCAATATATAATCTTGATACAAAACAAACTCCACAGTGCTACAGATTGACATGATGCAGTATGTGATAATAGGTCCGAAGTTAGACGCACCTCAAAGCATCTTCAAAACACTATGTCATCGATTAAAAGGGACAGGCCTAAACGCAAAGTAGAATGTGAAGTAATTACAAGTCTGGCTTTTCTGGAGGGAGGTCTCACTTTCTCTGTGTCCCCCTCCTCTGCTTGATTCATGGGAGTCTCTGACTATGCATTTTACAGAAAAGATTAAAGACAATGTTAACTACAGTCCTTGGATAAAACTGGAATTAAGGGTCTTAAACATAAAAGGTTATCCTTGAATCTAAATTTCCTTTCCCCTTAATGGCCATAAACCAGAGATTACTATATACAGGATATTCTTAACCGTGTTCTCAGTTCCTCCAATTCAGGACTCAAAGGTTGATGCTATACTCCACCCCACTACACAAATCATTCCAAGCTAAAAGTTGTCATCCAAGGTCTTAGCCTAAAGGGAATTAATATTGGCATGAAAATAGAGTTTATAATATATATTAACTTTTCTGGCTCTTTGAGCTATAGAAATCCACATAAGTGGTGGTACTTTAAAGATTCAAGTCACAAATATTAGTGTAGTGTTGACTGCTGACATTATCCATCCTTTTAAATATCTACCACATGTCCAACAATGATAGGGTGCCTTTTTGAATGGTTTGTCTGAGTAGAACTGCTGTGAATCCTTTCTTCAGCAGGTTTGCAAGAAAAGCAATGCAAACTGTGTTAAGTATCACCTGTTGATTTCACAGAATTCACAAGATGTATGAGTACGCTGTTTAATAGGATGAGTGTAACATTATGTATCTGGACAGATAAAGTCTAAAGAAAAGCAAGTGCAGATTTTGTGTTTAAGGGGACGAACCGTAGCCCAGCGTAATCAATGAAAAGTTTCCTATTGGCTTCAGTAGACTTTGGCTTAGGCCCTAGGTGGGATTACAGGAGACCTATTTTTGAAGAGTTTAGCAAACAGACCCCTGGACTTTAGCCGATAGTGGAAGAAAGATTATTGCCTGCTACTTTGAAAAATTGGCTTCCAGCACATATTGCTATCTGAAATGACATGTCTTTACTTTTTTCAGTCTGTGAAATCCAATTATGGAAGCACATCAAAACACTGGCCTGTCCATTAGTATATAACCTACCTTCAACAGCAAACAGAATTTAGGAAGGAACGCTCAATCCTGTAGCTCCCACTCAAGATTCCAAAGATTTTTATAGTATTTTTTTGACATACACTAGATTCTTGTTTTCCTTCCTGATCCACTCTTTTGCCATACTAATCTAAAGGTAGGCACTACCATCCTAGCTTCCCCCAGAACTTTGCTTTTCATCATTATCCTCCTTGATCTTTTGGTAATAGTTTTCCCAAGATAAGCAGCAGACCTATACCTCACTATTGGGACATGTGGCTACTACTGGAATAGCTGGCTGGCTGTGTAATTTGCCATCAAGGTAATAGCTCTTTATCTTGTATATACAATTTTTTTAAACTTGTTAATGCTCTTCCTTTTTAGTGTCTCCAAAGCCCATGTGGTGTTCTATGTTCCTCCATGCATACTCTGTCTCTACTGCACCAGCTAGTCCTTTACACTCCACCTGCTTTGTTATGCTAGCATACACAAAGCTAGACCACATAGGCTTTTTAAGTGAACCAGTTCTTTAAATGTGATGTGTTCCTCAAGTGTCAGAGCCCTGACACCTTGAGTTAACCAAAGTTCTATAGGAGAAAGAGAAAGAAAGGAAAGCCTTCTGCAATCTATCATACGTGGAAAGATACCACTCTTATCAGTAATTCATATGCTCAGTTGGACCTATAATGGAGCTGTCAAAGACCAAAACAATTATTTAATTTGCTATAATTTCAAATTTAGCAGAAGCACTTCAAGGCATGCATTTTTCCCTGAGTGTGTAGCAAGGTGTTAACTGCAGATTCCCATGCAAAAAGCTGCATGCATAAGATTATAGTCAGTTGAGGTAAGATAAAAAAGTTCTAGGAAGATTAAACAGATCTCATAAAAAGGAGATCTGATATTCTGTTTTCCTTTCTGACCTGTGCAGCAGCTAGTGCACTCTTGTGGTCTTCCAATGTCACTACAAGCTGGTCATGTTGGGAGAGTAAATTCTTATGCTGTTGCTACATAAAAAAGAAGAATGTTACGTATTTCATATCGTTTGTTCTGGATTGCACCAGGTTAACCTTAAATTGAAATATATCCCCACAGATCTTTCAAACTTAAAAATCCTAACTGGGAATAACACGCACTTTGATTTTTTTTAATGCGTGTTTAATGTGGAGTTCAATATCAGAGTGGTAGCAGCAAACACCAAATTTAAAGCCAGAGTTTTGTAACCACAGTTGAAAGTTGGAGCAGATGTGGAGAGATAGGACCTAAAATGGAATACACTTCAATATTAACATTATTTACCAAAAGACAAATGACTGTTTATTAAGAAACCTTTCCTTTTGCAAATAAAACAAAACAGAATTTTAAAAGCCCACCAATCTTATATACAGGGCCATTTCAAAACCATGCTGGATCATTTGATTCTTCCTCTGATCCCATCTTTGTATTCACCATCATTCTTTTAGCATTGTAGAATAGCTAAAGTATAGTTGGCAAGAAATAAGTAATATATTTTAGTCATGTTTTCCAGAAAAGTTAAACATTTCCATCATAACCTACCTCCAAGTTGTTGAAATAATGGCAAAGCATTTCACATACACTAGGAGGAGGGTCTATTTCTAGGGAACAGAAACCAACCTTGACATCTTGTAGCTGGGTATGAATATCTTGGTGTGCTTTTCTCAGCTGTCTATTCTCCTCTCGCAAATTATACAGAGATTCTATTAAAAACAAAACAGAATGCAAAGACTGAACTCAATCAGATTTATGCTTTTGTAATTTTAATATCACAAGTTTTAAAGTATTTGCTCTTAAATACTATTAAAGCCTAATTCAAGATGATGTACAAAATACGGATTATTATATAAATTGCATAAAATACCACATAACTGCAGTGGTAAAACACATGAGATCAGTGCACAGAGATCAAAGGAGCTTGTGCTGACATTAATGTGTTGCTCTCATCCCTATACAAAAACACAACCTTAAACTTTCAAAGCCAAGTTCATTAAATCCAATTCATCAGTTCCTAGATTAAATTTATTTTTGTATGACCATACTTTCATTTCCTGGCTGAGGGCAGGGTCTAGTGGTATGTCCTATATTTAGGAGGGGGGATTGCAAACAGCAGAAGCTTCAGCCAGGATCCTGGATGCTATGCTGGGACTCTAACAGAGTAATAACCCCCCAGCCATCACCTCTCCAGGCTGTATGTGGAGTCTGGAAATTTTCTCCCCTAAGACTCAGCAGTTTAATTAGAAGCAGTGACCAGAACTCAAAGGGGATGGAAGTGTGGGATGGAACTGGAAAGTGTGGTAGAAGAGGAGTGGATGCTACCACTAAGAAGGAAAGCAGCAGCATGCCAAATCCAGCCTTCTGCTTCAGGGTTCTGTATGGGTTGGCACCTTTGATTTGCTTTGAGCCACCTCAGGAGCTAGGAAGCTGGGATCTTTCTCCCATCTCTTAGGCAGCTCCAAAGCTGGTAAGTGTGTTGGTGGGGCATGGGAGAGTGTGGCAATAGCCCTCTAGTTTAGGAAGAATACAAGTCCAACCTTTTGTTCTATGCCATTTATATTCTAAGATCCTCCTGACACGAAATGGGACACTTAGAGAAAAATAAGTTATGCTTCAAAGTACTTTACATACTAACTAATTAGTTCTCACGTCATCTTTGTGAGGTAGATAAATATCCTTATTTTAGAGAAAAATATTCTAATATTTTACAGACAGGGAAAATGAGGTAAAGAATGTGAAGTCACTTCACCAAGGGCTCATAGTTAAACTGACAACAGAACTAGCAACTGTGTTTTCATCAGATGTTGGTTGTTTAAGAAAGAGATCCAAAATCAGGCCCAATTTCCCCAGTTTTGAATGTGGAGGCAGGTTCAGAGCTGAGCATTTGAATCCAGCCCCCAACATTTGAAATGTTTCAGGGCCAGGAATCCTGCCCTATCTGTAATCAAGATAGAGTCAAAAAAGCAAAACATACTCTAGTTGGAATTCTCCCAAAAGGTCCCAGAAATACAGGATTGAGACGCCCAGAGATATGAATGGCAAAACTCAGTAGCAAGAACATGTAAACTGACTGGTAAAGGAGCAAATGCTGAGTGAGCATGAATGATGACCTGTTATGCTCAGTGTGTGAGTGCGCATTTACACGCATGCCCAACTCCACTCTCGGTCACACACACCAGTATTGATTTCTACGTTTAAAAAGCAGTGGCAGGTGAAGAGTTTTAAGCTGTGTAGTATGACTGAGTCAGGCTGCATATACCCTTTAGCTTGGAAAGTTCCTGCTCTTTCTCTTCTTGTATTTGTACAGATTTCTGCTTGTGATCGCTGAATGTTCTTCTAAAGTCTTCTCCTTGTTTTCGGTGTTCCTCCTCGAGGTCTGCATGCTGTTTCTTTAGTTCTTCATGTTGACTCTGCAAATGCCAAATTGAACACTGGAAGGAGTTCTGCACCTGCATATCTGGCTATTATCATCTTTGGCAATTTGTTAAATCAGATGAATAGCAAGCATTCATAACAAGAAGTTTATTATTCAAATCCTGTACACTACAGTTCCTACTCAACACAAAATTGCCTCTGTGCCTCTGTAGCTCCTTGTTCTAGGGACTTACCATCCCCCTTGGCAGCTGTTATATCCCTCTGAGAACTGCTGAATACACCTTCTCAGAGGCAGAATCTCACCATTAATAATCTGGATCCACAGCAATATTAGAAGTTAATATTGTCAATGACTTGTCTGCTGCTTCTACAGCCAATCTGGAATATTACCTCTATTGGAAACCTCAGAAAACTCTTTACAGCATACTCCCAAAGGTTTCTTCAGATACATGATCCAGCTCCTCTGAGGTCAATGGTTCCATTGACTTCAGTGGTGCAGCACTGGACTAACAGTTTCCATTAAAAAGACTTGCAATAGCAGAGATATTGCTGTAAATCTAGAGGAACCCTTAAATCTATAATGGTTAATAAAGTTTCTCATAAATATGCATCAAGAGTAACCAGGAAACCATTGGAGCTGGAAAGACTTCAAAAGTGCTGGAAGGATTTAGGAGCACAATTCCCGTGATGATTAGCAATGGGACCGTGTTCCTAAATCCTTTAGGCACTTCTCAAAATTTCCCTCAAGCACGGGATTTTCAAAAACACTAATACTCTGTCCTTACTGATGTCAGGGTGAGTTTAACTGATTTCAATGGAGCAGAGTTAGGTCAATGTGGAGCACTTTTTGAAAAATCCCACCCTAAAGCATAAAAGTCTGTGACAATGATTCTAGTTCTTTTGATGTAGTAACCTTAAAGGGTCATGTCATCAAGTACAAGTTTAAAACTAACCTGCATTGTGTTTTCTTTCTTTTTCAAGTAAGAACCTAAAAAAACCACACAACTTTGGCTAGCTATTGAAATTGCAATCCTACAAATAACCCCACTTTCACTAGCTAAATATGCCATTTAACTTTTTTTAGGCATCTCTTTTTTTTCCTTCCAGGAATCTTTTGCTATGCATGTAGCTGCATTTAAGATGAAAAATAACTTAACACCAGAAGGCTATAATTATTAAATTACAAGATATTCTTCTAATACTAAAATATACGGAAGCAGAGCTAGCTACCATTTAAGAAGGGCTATTAATTGTGTACACAGAATTACTTGCCATTGCATATTTTAATGTACATGTTCCCCACTACATATTATATTTGCAACAAGCATAACTGAATAATGCACAAAAATTCCATCTTTTTCAATGGACCTGTGCATAATATCTGCATTGAAGTGATTCCATTTGACCCAAAACAATGGCAAAAGGAGTAGTTATTTGATTGCAGGATCCCAACTATAAAAATTCTTGAAACTATTTCCAGAATTTATGTCAAAGTATTTATTACTTTGGATACTGAGTACAATTTCTAATATGCAAAATCTTTCCAATTTTACCTAGTGGCATGCATGTCAATATCCCCCTCAAATAACTATGTAACTCACCAGAAAACATAGCTATTCAATACATGATGCAATCAGTTTATCCTTAAAGTACATTCATGAAAGGAAAATATCTTTTTGAAACAATATATTGACTCTTGGAGATGGGACAAAAAAACTTAGTACATTTATTTCTCATATTGCTACCCCCCAAAAGAGAATCTCTCTGGTACCTACCTTCAACATCTGGTGTTGTACATTCAATGTGCTATATCTGCTATTTGAATCTTGCTGAGAAATGAAAATATTAATGTTAATTAGGGACAACAGAATCTCATATCCTGATGCACTTTCTATGTTCCTATTCTTTGTAAAGAATATTATACAGAAGCTATAAACTAGCAATTATAATTCAGCATGGAGCCTACCTGACCTGGTCTCTTTTTGGTTCTGAAATATATCAAGTATAGCAATTGTGCAATAGGTGAGGTAGTAATGTATTTTTAATTACACTATTATTCCTCCGACTCTTTTCTTCCCACTTTAGACTCAAAATAAACAGCAACATGCTTTCACTTACTATCACTACAAAGAGTTCTTTACAGACCTCAAATATATTTCCAATGACAGTCTCAACTTGCCTCCTGGCAGCTACTGCACAAACCAAACTTTCTTGGGGATTTAAACTTGCCAATCAAAAAAACCTGGTTACGAGACTGGCTCTGTCCAATAAGAAAAGGACAGCAGCAACAGGATTTATGATACCATCTTCTCTGTTTCTCTCCCTATTCAGTTTTCTCCCGTCAAGATTGGCTGATAGGAGACAGCTATTATAAAAAAGAGTATCATTAACTTCAGCTACTATAGTATAAGCGGAGGAGTGTTTGTTTTTCCAAAGTAATTCCCTAGAAAGAAACTTCCTCTCTTACTAGATCATTTGGATCTTTCTAACAGGGCGCATTTAACATACATAACAAAAGTGGAATAAGTCAAAGCTATTTCAATTAGGGTTTGGTAAGTCTCTTATCTTTTTGAATGGTTTTAATTACATACCCTATCCTTTCCTTTGTAAATGGAGTAGTGTCGTTATTCTTTGGTACCAATTCTTTAACATTCTATTTTATTTTATTTTTTACTTACCCTTCCTTTATTTAGTGTTTCTTGTGCTTCCAATTTATAAACAAGAAAGTCTAGGAAATAATAAAAAAGGAGACTATTAAAGAAATATTTCACTGACAAAAAAGCTTGGGGGCCAGAATCTGTAGGTACTCTGTATTCAAAATACCTTCTTGTAAATGGGAATTCCACACACAAAGTAGCTACAAAGTTGGGGAATGTTGCATTTACAGCTTTCCTGAGGAACTATAAAAACTAAGGAAATACTTTGAATTTTAAATCTGATCGTCAAAGTATTTGCATATAAAACTGTTTATGCCAGTACTGTACAAAGTATGGCAAGGCAAGCCTGGGACTACTGGTGGGAAACTAAATGTGTTTCAGAAGTCTTATGTGCTACATTTAAAGGCCCAGCAGCACTATTAAAAGGAAAGGGGAGGTTAAATTGTGCATTTTCCTATGAGAAGATAACACTTTAAAATCCTCTTCAGCCACAAGAACACAGGAAAGTCAAAAAGCAAAAAACACAAAAACACTTCCCACCCCCTTTTCATTGTGAGTTCCTTTGTACTCTTCTTTATTTTCTAATTCTGAAAAAGCTGACCTGCCCTTTACAAAACTAATGATTTATTGTTGTCCACTAGATGGCACCACAAAACCATCTAGGATTATAGGGCAAGAAAACCCCAAACAGCTTTTAATGCTTTTTAATCTTTTGTATCAAACAAGTTGCTTTAACTGAAGGCCTATGAATCGCCTAGCTAGCAGCAACTATTTTTAGCAAGAGTGCAGGGTGGACTTTCATTACCTTATGCCTTAACATTTCAAACAAGTAATGTACACCATGAAAAATTACTTAGAAAAGTTACCAAAACTATTGTACTCTTAAAACTTTTGCAGAGAGTGGCTTTTTAAAAAGAAAAATATGTATTATTTGCATAATCAAACACAGCATATGTCCAGTACTATATTATTCAAGGACATTTAACTAAGACCCAGATTCACAAATCATCTCTATTCCGGACAGGCGTTTTAAGCATGTACTTCACTTTAAACACACAAGTTTCTGAATTGGGGCCTAACTGAATACCTTATGGCATGCATCAAATGGTCATATGCCTTATGGAGTTTTTTTTTTAAATATCCAATAAAAGGACTTGTGCATATATTTATATCATAGAAATTCAATATGCTGTGTCTATACCAGTGGACCTACCAGTGAATTACAGGGATCCATAATTTATAAAATTAACATATATAACTGAGAAAAATGAAAAACAAGATTTTTACCTTCTTTTGCTTTCTTATGTTCAAGCCTTTCCTTCTGTAAAGACTTTTCTAATCTTGACCTGTGCTCATAGACAACTGAAAAGAGAAAGATTTGAACATAGGAATTCATTTTACAGATAATAGAAAGGGGAACAATACATAACAAATAGTATTGGTGCAGAATGCATAAGGACAATCCAAAGTCAGTTATACCAACTGATTTCAGAGTAGCAGCCGTTTTAGTCTGTATCCGCAAAAAGAACAGGAGTACTTGTGGCACCCGATGAAGTGGGCTGTAGCCCACGAAAGCTTATGCTCAAATAAATTTGTTAGTCTCTAAGGTGCCACAAGTACTCCTGTTCTTTATACCAACTGAGAATCTGGTCCTTAAACTTTAGTCCTAGCCATTTAAACTTTTATTTATTACTCAAATTCGGTTTGTGCTATCTCTCTATCTGTGGCAAGTGAGTTATACGCTCAATTTGTTTATGGGGATGGTCAATGCTGGTAGGCCTAAAATTAGACCTACCAGTTTATCTTTATTTCTTTGGTATGCATGTGTGAATTTTGCCATATTTCCAATCTCTTCTGCCTTGCTTGTGAAAAAGACAAATGAAATATTCAAAAATCCTGCTTAGAGTTCTTCAAGACCAGAATTCTTGCAGCACTCCATTTGCTCCCAAGAAGGAATAGGCAGGTAAAGTAGTAGGACAGATGAGAAAGGCGGAATAGTGCAGTGGTTGGCGGGTTAGCCTTGAAGTTGGGAGACTTGGGTTCAGTTCTCTGCTCTGCCAGACATATTGTATGACCTTGGGAAAGTCACTTAGTTGCTCTGTGTCTCAGTTTCCCATCTGTAAAATTAGGATAATAGTACTTCCATACCTCACTAAGGATAACTACATTGAAGACTCAAGTATGGGGAGGCCATATAAGTACCTCATAGTAGATTCAGACATAAACAATGTCTGATACAAATAATCTCTTCTTTCTATCCCAGTCCCCAGCTGAGTGGGACATCTTGTATAGAATCTGATTGTCTTTTGGATGCCCACTCTCAGCAAATACATGGTGCTGATGTCTGAATCCACTTTGTTTCAGAATACGTGGGCCCTGTCATCCTTCGAAGTAATACTATCTCAGAGAAGCTATCTCATTTTTTTCAGATTATCAGTCCAAGTATGAAAATTCCTAATTCAGGAGAGCATCTCAGTTCAGGAAGGGAATCTAAGCTCCATTGATTTCAATGGGATTTAAACCTATGAGTAAATTTAAGCATGTCCTTAAGTACTTTCTTGAATAGAGGTCAAAACTTCTAAACTGCTTTTCACAGGTTATATTAATTATTGCCGTAGTGGCAATTAAACACTTTAGTTAAAGATATAATTTCAACCCAAATCTCGTGTGTGTGAATTTTTTTTCAATCCTCAGTTGTTCCAAGTAATACCTACAGTTACTGTAACTAAAATGAGATACAATTTTATCTCAATTTTTTCCAGTTTGTTTACTTTGTATATCTAAAGCATTTTGTTTGAGTCAGCTTTGCTTTTTCCTCTCGATAGTCAGTTATTTGCATGGGTTTTGCACAGAGCAACTAGGGTGAGAAAAATATTTAAAACAGGAAAATATGATTTGTAAAAACCACAAAAATGGTTGCATGGTCTCAGACATATGTAGTTGCTGAAATCACTTTTGCTTATTTAAATTGACTGGATTAGATATGATGCTATCTTTTTATCCTCTGTTTACTTGTTAGTGTAAAAAGTGAGGCATATAGAGCTTTGCTTATATAAGCAAGTAGTGTAAGACAATATATAATCAGATGCTGCTTTGGGTATCAGCAGCAAAATTTATTTACCTCAAGTGACAATAAACCAGCATCAAGACAAATCAATATATGTATTGTTTGGGGCTGTAAAACTATCTAAAAAATTAATCACGAGATTTAAAAAATTTTTGATTAATCGCAATTTTAATTGCACTATTAAACAATAATACAATACCATTTATTTAAATATTTATGGATGTTTTCATCTATACTGATTTCAGTTACAACTCAGAACACAGTGCTGATGATGGGTTCTGCTCAATAACGATCCAAAGAAGTGCAGACCTATGCACATTCATTTAAATCATTTGAGTCAGATGCCACCAACAGAAGGTTGATTTTCTTTTTTGGTGGTTTGGGCTCTGTAGTTTCCACGTCAGAGTATTGCTCTTTTAAGACTTCTGACAACATATTGCACACCTTGTCCCTCTCAAGATTTTGAAAGGCACGTCAGATTCTAAAAGCTTGGGTTCAGTACTGTAGCTATCTTTAGAAATCATATATTGGTTACTCCTGGGGGAATTCTGCGCCAAAAAATCTGAAATTCTGTACCAAAAATGAAAAAATTCTGCATATTTTATTTGTCAAAATAATGCAATATAATCACATCAGTTTCACTTATTGTGGTAATTTATTTAAACTACCATACAGAAAAAAAATCACAATAACTGTTTAGCATTTCCTAAACACATGATGGTTATGTTACAAATACACCTCTATCCCAATATAACGCTGTCCTCGGGAGCCAAAAAATCTTATCGCATTATAGGTGAAACTGTGTTATATCAAACTTGCTTTGATCCACCGGAGCACACAGCCCTGCCCCCCCAGAACACTGCTTTACCGCATTATATCCGAATTCGCGTTATATCGGGTCGCGTTATATCGGGGTAGAGGTGTACTTGGTAACCAAGACCCTGCATTCCATTTGTAATCCTGGATTTTCATTTAAATTACATTACATTTTATTTTGCTGTTTGGTGTTCTGTAAAGTAGAATGTCGCTTTAAATTGCTCAGACTTTCACACATGAAAGTCATACAGTTTTGCTAGTTATTGTCCTGCATTTTTTTTTTAAATGGATAAGTAAAATAGAGCCTGAGCTGTAGTCTAACCCCCTTGTGCCTCTCTGGCACAGGAAAAAGAGTGAGAAAGCACATAGACCTTCCTAGCTGACGATTCCGTTACTGTCATTTACAATAAGACTCCTTTTCACCACTCTGGCAAGGTAAAGGAACCTTAATTGATTGGGAATAATTATAAGAATAAGAATAAGAATGGGAACAATTAACTAACAATGGGAACATTAGCAGCCTGCCTGCTTAGTTGTTACATTTCTGCTCTGCCACAGGGACAGAGCCTGCTTCACACAGCCCTATGCAGCCAAACCTGGGATGCAGCAAGTACAACTGCAAACGAGAGGGACCGAGTGAGTCTCCCTCACTTGTTCGCGCGCAGACAGGCACCCAGCCCCACACCTTTAACGTCTCTCCACAGATGCACGCACCCATGCCCAGCCTCCCCCCGCGGTGATCTGCTGCCGGCTGCTCCCAGCAGATGTGCCCGGGCTGCTGCAGAAGGGGTGTGTGTTCCCCACAGATTTCTTGGCTCCCCCATTTTTCTGACGGTGAGCCAAGAAATCTATGGGAGGTCTGAATTCTGTGCCCGCACAGGGGTGCAGAAATCCCCCAGGAGTAATTGGTATCTTCTTTGCATCTTGTCAAATCTGCAGTGACAGTGTTCTTAAATCAAACAACATGTGCTGGGTCGTCATTCAAGACTGCTATAACATTAAATATATGACAGAATACAGGTAAAACCATGGAGCAGGAGACATACAATTCTTCCCTAAGGAGTTCAGTCACAAATGTAATTAACACATTATTTTTAATGAGTGACATCAATATGAAAGCATGTCCTCTCGAATGGTGGTCAAAGCACAAAGGGGCATATTAATGTTTAGCATATCTGGCATGTAAATACCTTGCAACACCGGCTACAACAGTATCATGCGAATACCTGTTCTCACTTTCAGGTGACATTGTAAATAAGAAGCAGGCAGCATTATCTCCCATAAATGTAAACAAACTTGTTTGTACTAATGATTGGCTGAACAAGAAGTAGGACTGAGTGAACCTGTAGGCTCTAATGTTTTACATTTGTTTTGTTTTTGAGTGCAGTTATGTAAAAAAAAAAAAAAAATCTACATTTGTAAGTTGCACTTTCACAATAAAGAGATCGCACTACAGTACTTGTATGAGATGAATTGAAAAATATATTTTTTTTTACAGTGCAAATATTTATAATAAAAATATAAAGTGATCACTGTATACATGGTATTCTGTGTTGTAATTGAAATCAATATATTTGAAATTGTAGAAACACATCCAAAAATATTTATAATAAATTTAAACTGGTATTCTATTATTATTTAACAGT